TGCATGGAGTCTACATGTTCCCCCTGAGCATGCGTGGGTTCTCTCTGGGTACTCCAGCTTCCTCCCACAGTCCAGAAACATGACTGTTAGGTTAATTGGCTTCTCTAAATCGTCCTTAGGTGTGTGTGTGAGTGAATGGTTGTGTCTCTGTGTTGCCCTGCGATGGACTGGCAACCTGTCCAGGGTCAACCCTGCCTCTCGCCCATTGACTGCTGGAGATAAGCACCAGCACCCCTCGCAACCCAGTCGGGACAAGCGTGTCAGATAATGGATGGATACTAAAATAAAACAATTTAAAAAATCGGCTTACTTGTTGCAGTGTTCATCTAGGTAAAATCGTGGCATTGTTAATGCCTCAACAGCTCCCAGAATCATGGCAGCAATAAACAACTTTTTTGTCATCCGCAGGGGTCAGCGCTCTGCTTGTTGTGGCCTTAGATGTCACTCAAGCCTTCCGGGTCCAGATGGTTGAGTTCGGAAGAGGACACAAGTACAAGACTCCTCTAAGCATCAACCTTCAGAATATCAACGAAGTCATCCTACAAGAGATTGTGAGTCACCGTTGCATTTTTAAAAAGCTTCAGAGCAGCAGTTTGTACGTCAGCTTAAAGGCTCTTAAGGTTTAGTTGCAACCAGACAGTTCCAGCCTTAAAATCCCCATTAAATGGTACAATAGGGATGTTTTGATTCGCAGCTTAACTGCCTAAGCCCTGAGGGACTTTTCAGGGAAATTCCGCCTGAAATTCGATCTGTGAATTAAAGCAAGTTCAGCTCCTAAACTATAACTTGTAGATACAATTGTTTGTATTTGTATGACAGAAAGGCATTGAGGGATATTTTTCAGGTGGAACCACTATTTTAAATGTCACCATGTCTGTTTTATAGGTGATTTAAAAAAGAAAAAATGAAAATTATTTAGCCTCGCCACATTTTTTTCCCCCCAAAATAAACATTGCAAAACACCATGAAAGCCCATTAGAAACTCTGGATGACCCCTCAGACTTTATAGATCCACATCTTGCAGAGCATTCCTCGCTGCATTGAACTGCAGACACCACTCCGCTCAGATTGGTCTGGGGGTTTTATTTACTTAAACAGAGGCTAGTGCATCCTAAAGATTTGCATGTCTTTATAGACAAGGCATGTCTATAAAGACTCAAACTCCCTTCGGATCCAGACATTTGAATTGAGAAAGCTTCCTGGAGAGGTGGAGAAACTTCTTCAAATCTTGGAAACCAAGTCCAGTGGATTCTTTGAACTTTTACGGAAGCAGAAAGATCAGCTTTTCAGTTTCAAGTATCATGCAGTAATGATGGAAAACACAATGCAAGACATTAAAAACCGAAACGCGCACCAACGCCCTGCTGGCATGAAGCAAACGTTACAACATACACGTTCAATGAGGAATCAAACCGCTGCATAAAGAAATCCAACCTCTTTGGGAATACCCTTTTCTAAAATAAAATACAGTAGTTTATATTAAAAATAAAATATAATTTATAATTTTTTAAAATGTAACACTTTAGTGGTCGTCACACTGGCCTTTAGGGAGTGTGGCTAAAAATTAATACCTGCTGTTACATTAAGTCTGGTTTATGCTCAGAAACCAGGTGTGTTGCAGTGAACACAGATATGCCCCGCCCCCTTCCACAGACACTCTGCTGCTCCTCTCCAAAATTGTAGGTGAGCGCAGACAGGAGGCCTCTGATTGGTCAAATCTACATCCGCTCTACACTATGCATATTTTCTGTTTGGTTCCTTACCGCCTTGTTTTGTTTATATGACCGCCATTGTGGAAAACGACTGGTGAATTCCCCTTAACGACCCGCCCTTCAGAGACATAGACAGGTTTCAGGTATTACAGGCTGACAAAGCAACAAAACGACCCCAATTCCAAAGGGATTGACCCGTTCATCTAGCCTGACGTAGTCCGACTCAATTCTAGTCAGAATGAGTCTGATGCTGCTCCATAGAGCTGTGATTATGGGGCGTGTTTCGAACGAACCAGGAAAAAAATGCCTCTGCACTCAATTGGATAGACCTACAACCAATAAGAGCAACGGAGTGCGTGACGTATGTTAAGCCACGCTTAGTTGTTGTCCACAAAGATCAAAGCGTTCCGTTGCACGCCTATAATAACAAAATGAGACT